CCTCCAGAAGTTCCCTGACTAGATTCTCACTGACCCTAGGTCTGGGTGCACCTAGGGTCAGTGAGATTTCCTAGCATGTCTTGCAGAGGCCCCACATTAGCCGGTATCTTCTTTTTACCCCCTACCTAATTAAAAAAGGACTTCTTCTTGTCCTTGATCCAGTTCCATCTCCACCTTGGCCTTCCTGACCACCCCCCTGCAGCCCCGAGCAACCACAGTACAGTCCTCCCTGGTGATGGCCCCACCCTTCCATTGGGTATACGCCTCCCTTTTAGCCAGGAGATGTTCCCATGTGCTTTTGCTGAGCCATGGGGGCTTTTGTGCCCTCTTGCCCCCTTTGATCCACATTGGGATTACCTCCCTTTGGGCTTGAAGCATCATCTCCTTAAGGAACAACCACTCTTCTTGGACCCCTGACTCCTCTTCCCTCTGGGATCTCAGTGCCTCCTTACCTCATTGAAGTCCGCCCTCCTGAAGTCCAGGGCTGCTGTCTTGCTGCAGGCCTTTGCCACCTTGCGCTGGGTGGTGAATTCCAGCAGGCGATGATCGTTGTCGCCCAGGTGGTCGCGCATCCACGGCCCCTTCACCAGGTAGTCGCCCGTGGCCAGGACCAGGTCCAACAAGGCATCTCCCCTGGTGGGCTGTGCTCCTCCTGGGTTAGATGGAGGTCCTGTATCTCAGCTAGGAACCTACATGAGCAGTCAGACCTGGCTGACTACTCTTCCCAGCAGATGTCTGGGAAGTTCAGGTAACCCATGATGACCATGTTCTTTGACCTAACTACCTCCGTGAGCTGACTTAAGAATTCCTGGTCTAGCTCTTCCCCTTGGTTGGGTGGTCTGTAGTAGACCCCCACCGTTAAGTCCCTTTCCCCTCGACTTCCTTGTATTCTAACCCAGAGCACTTCGGTGTGCCCTTCCTCTGAATGGTGGCCTCTGCCCCCAGGAGTCTATGGCATGGCAGCTGCAGCAGCTCCAACAGCTGAGATAGGCAGATCATGCCACAGCTGCAGCAGCCAGGTACTTGTGAGCCCTTAGGGCAGGTAAGATTCTTGCCCTCTTCCCCCTCCTCCTCAGCATTCAATGGCACCCCCCTTCCACTCCCCAAAACACATGCTCTTTGGCAGGGTTTTGCACAAAGTACAATCCTTGTTAGTTATGGCTATGGACATTTCTAGTTAGATAGATAGATAAGGCTTGGATAGATAAGGATAGGTTTAATGTTAGGGTTAGGCTTTGGAAGCAGAGTAGTAGCTCTGACATGCTAGTCTTAAAAATAATGCTTTTAAATAGATTCTTAATGTGAGAATCCTTAGAAAAAGCAAAATGGTGCTTTATTTTATTCTGGTGAAAGGGGCCAAATTGAAAATGCATAAGATAGGCAGCAACAGCACAAGGTTTTCCTGCTGTCTTGTCCACTATGCTATGGCTACCAGTACACCGGGGCAGGCAAAGTCTGGCCTATGGGCCAGATCCAACTGGCAGTGGACTCCATTTCCCAGCAATCCCTGCCTGCACGGCTGGTGTCAGTCTCCATGGAGACCCCAGCCACAGGTGCACTGCAAAGCTGGGGTTGCCATGGAGACCAGCTCCAGTCACACTGGCAGGGTAGGGTAGGTGGCTGCTCCAGAGCCACTGGGATCATGTGGCGCGGGCAGCTTCGTCTGGGTCCAGGACAGAGCCGTGATCTGCAGCCTGCACCCCTGCCCAGAGTGTGCAGGCTGCAGATTGCAGCTCTGCCCTGCCCCTGCTGCAAGATCCCAGTGGCTCTGGAGCAGTTCCCTGCACTGCCACACACCTTGCCAGTGCAGTTGGGGCTGGTCTCCATGGCAACCTCAGCCTTGTGCTATCACAGTGCAGCTGCAGCTGGGGTCTCCATAGAGACTAGCCCCAGCAATGTGGGTAGGGGCTGCTGGGAAATGGAATCCAACTGCTGGCTGGATCTACCATTTTGCCCACGCCTGCCTTACACTATGCTTTACTTCTTTTAATCTGAAGTTCACTAATTGCAAATTTAATTATAGAGATTTCATACATTTGTCAAGACAAAGGTATTTTAATTCTTTTATTTTTTTTAATGTAGGAATTTCAGAAACATCTGGCCAAAGCAAAAAGAATAGTAGTTGTAGGAAATGGTGGCATCGCCCTTGAATTAGTGTAAGTAACTCTCTTATGTTTATGAAGAGATGTGTGTGCAGACTTGAACAACTGGACTGCAGACCTAGTGTGCGTGAATTTGTGTGTATGTGTATTTTGGGGGTGTCAAAGTTGTTTGCCATTCTGAATAGCATAAATAGAAGTAAAATGACTATCCCTGGTGTAGTTCATCTAGTTTCCAGCTTTTGCAAAGAAAGCTTCCTTCCTCCTTCCCTTATTCATAAATGGAGATGGCAACCTGGCATTTTATCCATTGTTTAAATGTGCTTTCCAGGTATGAAATTGAAGGGTGTGAAGTAATTTGGGCCATCAAAGACAAAGCAATTGGAAATACTTTCTTTGATGCGGGTGCAGCTGAATTTCTGATTCCAAAGCTATCTGCTGAGAAGCCAGAGACTGCAACTGCATGTAAAAGAACCAAATATACAACTGGAGGTACAGTACAAGTGGTAAAATTAGTTCTTACTTTAGTCCTTTTGCACCTCAGTGGGCAACAAACTTTACATCAACTTCCAAAATACAGGGTAAACCCTAAATGAGCCAAATTTGAATATAATCAGGAAAGTTTAACTGTTTTAAGTAGTGCACCTTCCTAAAGAAAATCAGTGCTTAATTATTTTACCATTAAATTATAAATTTATGAACACGTGCCGTATGGATGTATAAAGATTAGAAGTGTTAACAGCTGTGTCCTTTCCCATTGTTTTCTCTTCACTTTATATTTTGATAGCTGTCTAAATTCCCTGGCAGTCTCAATTTAGACAATAATAATCGTTCTGTGTTAGGTCCAAACCCCACAACTTTTATTTATTTTTTAACTTGACTAGCCTGATTGATTCATATGAGTAAGGTTTTGCTGGGTGACTTTTAAGCTGCTGAATTGCTGTCTTGTGCTTTGTGCCTTTTTAAACCAGATAGGCTTTCACATTAACTGCAGACGATATAGGAAAAGTGCTGTCAAGTGCATAAACTTGCATATGATGCATCAGAAATAATCATATGTTTTACCCTGTTAAATATTGTTTTCCACCCCTCTAGTCAGATTCGGTATTCTTTGGGGTTACAGGGTCTTATAACAGTAACTAACTTCCCTGCAGCGTGAGTCTGAATTTTCTTCATCTTCACATCAGGAAGTGAGAAGGAAGGAAGAAGCGACACAGCAGCCGACAGACTTGGCAGTGCCTTAGGCCCTGATTGGCATGAAGGCTTACATCTTAAAGGGACTAAAGAGGTAGGCTTATCATCTCAACAATCTTTTTTATGTGCTACTGTAAGTACATGGGAATGCACTGATAGTAAAATGCTTCAGTCAGTGTTTTGAGAAAGAGAACCAAAATGTACATGAGGTGATTTTGTCCTTGCCATAGGTTTATACCAGGGGTGTCAAATATATGGCCCATGGAGCCTCATTATCTGGTCCCCAGTGTTGCCCCTGGATCCAAATTCACCCAGACTGGCCCCATGGTTAGGGCCCAGGACACACACCACATAGCACCTGCCCCCAGCACTCTGGGACATGCACCATGCCTGCTCCAGCCAGTCTGGCACCACTACTGTAGGGCCAGATGAGTTTAACACCCCTGGTTTACACCATTAAAGTTGAAGGAAATATAGATAAGAAACTGAACAAACTGAAGTAGCAAAAACTGTTATTTTTTTAAAAAACTAAACTGTAAACATCATTAGGATATCATTAAATAGCAAGAATTAAAGGATTTATGCACATCACACAATTACCAAAATTAGTTTCTTCAGATTTTTCATTGAATTGAATATGCGATTGACAAATTTATAATCTTGCAACTAAGATTTTTTGATGAAACCAAAGCACAAATGTGACGTACTCAATGTCGATTCAAACATTACAAGCATTATGACTGAAACATAGCCTGCCTTTCATACACAGGGCTCTGCAGTAATACTAATCTTTCAAAAGTAATCAAAGGAGGTTTCAAATACTGGACAGATTAGAGGCTGTTGCTGATAAAGATACAGTCTGTGAAAATGTGTCTTTATAGAACAGATAGCAAATAACTCAGCTGAATAGACTGAACCACAAAGTAATTCAAAGAAACAGTGGCATTATTCCATGACCTATGTTGCTGATGCCAAATGTAGACATCCTAAATTGAGTTTAGAATAAAAAGAGGTTAAATCTGGGCCAATGGAAAGGGCTTAATATTGTGTTCCTTCTCTCTGTTAACACTTGAAACACAAATCTGAAATTAATATAATGACAAAGAAACACAAATCTAACTTGTTACAGTTTGTTTAATAAAAATGGTGCAAATTTACTAACAATTCTGAAGCATAGTATAATTGAATTAATCATACTTATTGGCTTTTAAAAGCTGTGCATTCCTCTCCAGACAATTAAGCATCACTTGAGTGCATGACCAGCAAATGAAGACTGGTTTAGTTAAAATGTTTGTCATAGACTAAGCTAGTTGCTGGAACAGTAGGTAGGTTTTTTAAGGTATAATCTACATCAGAGGACACAAATAAACAGGAGTGGCACCCAGTTAATATGCCATGTTCATACTGTTATTACCAGTGTTTCTATTTAATGTGAATGTCTATTATTTTTATTTAGTTTTCTCACAAAGTTCACATTGAGACGTTGTGTGAAGTAAAGAGAATATACCTCCAGCAAGAATTTATACCATTGCAGCAGGCCTCTTTGTCTTTTCCTAAAGGAAATCAGAATGCACAACCAGACAGAGGTAATTTTTGCCAGGAATAATGTAGTAATTTAAAAGATAACTTTTGCTTCTTGTGTATTTCATGTCCTATTTAAAATAACTCTTATTGGTTACATTCTCAGGTCAGAATTTTCCCTTTTTTTCAGCACTGTGGCCTGTCTATGTGGAATTAACTAATGGGAAGATATATGGCTGTGATTTCATTGTCAGTGCAACAGGAGTTGTGCCAAATGTTAAACCATTTCTGGATGGTAATGATGTAAGGATGATTCAATTATTGCTTTTTAAATCATATTTTTATTTTAAAATACATTTCTAAAGAAAATATATCTTGATAGCTATTTAACATGATACCTCATAGCTAAAATGTTTAAAGGTAAGGATTTTCCATGTTAAATTATTTTTAAATGAGCTATATACTTTAAATTTGGTATTTCTAAAGTACCCATTGCAGTGAAAAAAATGCATTTTTATGCACTCAGGGACACAGACCCTTTCATATTGACATAAGTCCCTTATGTCCAGCCACCTGCTATTGTTTTGAGGGATAGATGTACATGCATTTGGTTTATTTGACAAGTTTAGATTCATTACTGTAGACAATATGTAATTTACATTGCCGTATGGCAAAGTTGCTACAGGGCTGTGCTTAAGCGCTTCCTTTTGGAAGTACTAAAGCACAACACAGTAGTTTCCCATACTGTGCTGTCTGCACGGTGCACGGTTAGATTTTGCTGCTTCGTTGCTGTAGTGGCGTGCTATACCAGGGGAGCATGCCGCCATGGTGACATAGCTGCCAATCGCATGTAGACCGACATGATCACTACTTCGCCATAGTGTGCCATAAGGCAATGTAGCATGTTGCTACATCACCATAGAGCGACATGTAGACACACCCCTAATGTTCCTTACTAGGGAAGCAGCAGGTGATTTCTCCAGTCTTCACGTACAGAATGGAGCAGAAAGCATTAGTGAGTTAGCTGGGGTCACACACAACATCAGAAAATAGAAAATTAAAACTTGGGAGTTCTAACTTTCAAGGTTACTTTCAGACAGTGAGATTACAGTGCACCCTGTACATGTCCCTGTTAGGAGTATTTGGGGAGAGCTTTTTGTTTGTGAAGTAGAATACTGGTCTCTGAGAGATGAATTCAGGGAAGTCTTAAGGCATGTTAGATGGAAGGAAAACTAGATAATGGAAATGGTCCTGAATCAAAACTCTCTGAATTAGTAGGAGCAACTGTTACATGCTGATTATATTGTGAAATCACAGATTCACAGTTTAGGGCTGGAGGGGAATCAGCTAGATTCCTTTTGTTAGAACCCCATGTGAAATCAATAACTTATAAATGCAGACCTGCATTTGGTGCTAAAAAAATACTTTATGCTGCAGTTTGAATTCAGTGAGAACTGTCCTACCAACAAGTTAGTGCATTCTGGAGCTGATCTCAATTTTTTATAGGTTTACAACTGCAAAGTACTAAATGATCATGTCTACTTTGCTTCCTGGATCTTTTCACCTGTTAGCTCATTTCAAAAGATATGCACAAGTTTCTTGCATAATACAACACTGATCTATATTTTAACTCTTGATTCTAAGACTTTGTTTGTAAATATTAATAGCATGTATTATAGTTCCACATAGAACACTTCCATTGACAACTGCTTTGAAAGTTTTTCATGCTGAATTCACCCACCTGCTTATCAGGCACTTCAGACAGAGCATGCTACACCTCTGCTGGTTGTCTGGCTTACCAGTGCTTTAGTCTATACTGGAATTAGCCCATTCTGGATGAAATATAGATTAAATATACAGCCTTATAATATAACATGGAGGAAGATTGCAGTAGAAAAAACAGGTGTCTACTGCTAATCAAAGCAAAGAAGGAGGTTGGGGAAACGGAGACAAAGTATGTGAAGAAATCTATGGGGGGGTGGGGTTTAAGAACATGGAGAAGAATTTGAAGAAGATTCTGAAATGAGTATAGAACCCAAGTACAGTAGTTTTAAGATTGGAGGGACTGTGGCGCACACATTTAAGTGAAAAGATGGGGAGTACTGTATCTGGGTTCTGGTCAAGCTAGAGAGAAGGGTAACCTGCTGGTGATGTATCAAATTCAGTTAATACAGATGAGAAATTACAGAAAAAACTAATTTTGGCCATTATAGTCAATCAGTGAAAAGTACTGCAGATGAATTCAGCAAAGTGTGTTACTACAAAATAGCATTAGTGTATTCTAGAATGAAGGTGCTTACAGTATTATGTGGAAAAAGAATGAGCAGATATCTAGGAAACAGCATGGTTTCTTTTTTAGGCCGACTTATTTTTGTTGGTTTTGAGCATTATTTTATGTTTGAATGGTAAAATTTTTATTCTGAAATAAAACATTGCTTTTGCACCAGAGTGTGGAAAAGCAGCTGTATTATAACAGTTAAGGATGTTTTAAGCAGGGCATGAATAATTAGAATAATTACTTCAGTATGGGATTCCTTAGGAAACCAGCATTTTCCTATTGAAATGAATGAGGCTTCTGTTTGAACAAGACTTCTAATTGTCCAATCCATTTTGTAATTTCAGGAAATCATAACAATTAGTTATATTAGGAAGTAGGTTGGGTGTCACACATTGTTCAAGGCTTCTGACCACTATCTCTTGTCAAATGGCTCCCAGAAAGTTCTCCTGCATGAAATGTTATTCATGTAGCTTTAAAACTACACATGCATTGTATGGAGTGGTTGAAATGCAACAATAGCTTGCCGCAAAAAGTAGCTTTGAGATAAAATAGTAATTGCTCTGACCATTTAACTAGGAGAAATCTGAATGGCCTGAAACAGTCGTTTAGTGAATTTTTGCTTTTTCCCTTTCATTGTTGATCTGTGCAACTGATTAGTTTGCTCTAGGTGAAGATGGAGGTCTTAAAGTGGATGAGCATATGCACACTTCACTACCAGATATATATGCAGCAGGGGACATCTGCAGTGCATCATGGGAGCCTAGTCATGTGTGGCAGCAGGTAAACTGCATTCTACATGTGTGCTTTAATCAGCCATCCAATACAAAATCTATAAGGCATGGTATCTAAGTAGATCTAATATGTGTACATGTGGTTTAGATAAGCCAAGTGATAGCACCACTAACCCCTGCAGCTGTAGGAGCCATTGTGTCAGTGGTGTCAGCATCCCAGTGTTAACACTGCCTACCCCAGCACCAAATTTCTAAGATGAGATTCCCAGTGGGGGCACAATTTGGTGGTGGTCTTAACCCCTGTGGCTGAAAAAGTTGCTGTGTTGTTAGTGCCAACAGGGAATTAATGCTGCTTCTTCCCCTGCTGCTGGCGATGGGTCATCCAGCCCATGAGAAGCCTCGTGGTCTGGATCCTGCAGGGCTAAATGAATTCAGCATCCCTGAGCTAAGCAATAAAGTCAAGTGTCATAAGCTTTGTGGCAGAAGGCTACATCATTCCGCATCTCTTGGTATAGTGAATACACTTGTTATGTACTGTTATGTTCACATCACATACAACCTTCTATTTTCAGATGAGGCTTTGGACCCAAGCTAGGCAGATGGGATGGTATGCAGCAAGATGCATGGCAGCAGATTCTTCTGGGGAATCTATTGACATGGACTTCAGCTTTGAACTCTTTGCCCATGTTACCAGATTTTTCAATTACAAGGTAAGTGAACAGATTCTAGTGCAGATTCTTGGTTTCTGTTGATTCAATACAGCAAGCCATTAAAAAAATCAGTTAATTGACTAATATGGTGGGGGAGATAACAGTGCCCTACCTATATTGATAATTTGTTTTGTCTATTTTTGCTTTGCCTAGGATAAAGGATAAATTCTAAAACTGAACCAGTCTATAGGGCTGTGTGAAATTTCGGCAGCTGCTTTGTTTCAGAGCTCAAACCACTGAATCCAAATCGAAACAAAAGGCTCCAAAACAGCTCCAAAACGAATCAGAAGGCTATGAAACATTTCGGAAATGTTTGCAATTAAATTGCAGAGAGAATTGTGTGTAGATGTCTACCCAGAGAATTGTTCCCTGCCTGCCCTCCCTTAACTTTAATCCTTTTGAAGTTTACAGTATTTGGAGCAAAGAGAATATTCGCACCCATTGTGGTGAACTTGTAATCAATGCATTATTTTTTTTTCTTCTTTTTTAGGTGGTGCTTTTGGGAAAATATAATGCTCAGGGTCTGGGTTCAGACCACGAACTAATGCTGAGATGCACCAAAGGACAAGAGTATGTTAAAGTGGTGATGCAGAGGGAAAGAATGATGGGAGCTGTGTTGATTGGTGAAACGGACTTGGAAGAAACCTTTGAAAATTTGATTTTGAATCAAATGGATCTTTCAGCCTATGGGGAAGATCTCCTGAATCCAAATGTTGACATAGAGGATTACTTTGACTGAAACCAAAATATCAATCTCCATTATTAAGGTTTTGACCTTCAGTACTGAGGTGTATTAAACAGCATATAAATTATATCTGAAAATCCCTGAAAAAAGGAACAGGTAGAACTGCAGTCACATTGGAAAGATCTTTTGCTGGTATTTCCAGACACTCACTCAGCTAATTTTTGGGAAATGTGCTGAAATGCAGGAGCAGAAAAGGAAATACTGGACAAATACAGGGATAAACCCATGTCTTGGTCTGATGTAGGCAAGAGTTAGATGAGGAGTTACGATTATTCTGTAAAACTGAAAATGTAATAGTGTTAATGTACTTGGAACTGTGGCACCCAGGGTGGAATGATCTTAGGTGTTTGACAGTTGGCTGTTAACTCCTTCAAACTAGCTAATCTCGTGTTTTGGCAATACTGCTTTGTTCTATCAGAAGTCTCAGCAAGTTGGACTTGTGCCTTAACATCCCAATTCCTAAAAAAGGGTACTGGGAAGACTTGCATTAACAGTATACCCTGGAGGAGGCGTCTGGATTGAAACACTTGATAGCAGCTATGTCATGACATTTTGGATATTACAAAACTTTTCATCAGTGTATTCCCAAAAAATGGAGTCTGCACTTCAGGCAGCATATACCCTGGACTTTAGGTTCTTTGTGGCACGCGTACGTGCATCCAACCCAACCCCTCCAGAATTATTTGCACTCATGCAATAGTTTCTAATTTTGGTGTAAAAGGTAAGGCCCAAAAGATGTTTTGGGGCAACTGATATTTCTTTGGAGTTTCAACACTATTTTAGAAATTCTGGCTTATGAATTATGAGGTAAGAATGAAAATTAACTTAAATCTTAATACACTGAACACAGGGATTGCTTAAATTACTGGCCAGTCTTCCAGAGACAGGCACCTTAAGGCTGCTCTTAAATATCTTTTCTCTGTATTTTGTAATACAAGCTATTGAAATGACACTTGCATTTTTCCATCAAAATGCTGCTTTCTAAAGCAGCAATTTTCTTCCCAAGTTTAATAGACTCTAGGACTGCAGCAGCACTTTGTCGAGCTATTTGTATTAGGACATCTCCTAGGAAATTAGCTTAATTATTTAAAAAGGCTAGAGTAATTACAGTTTAAATCTGGAGGCTAAATTATGGTTTAATCTGGAACAAAATTTACTGAGTTTCTGTGGAAGTAGAATTTAAATGTCATGTTATTTTTATGTGAAATTCTACACCTTAGCCTTAAGACTACTATAATAAAATGGAAGCTTTTGGGGTCTTTTGTGTCTTGATGTAGTACATATCTAATTTGATTTATACTTCTGGATTGGTGTATTAAAAAAAAAATGCTCAAGCTTCTATTATAGACAAAAGCTGGTCAGCATCAGCTGAGCTTTGTTGGGTGTCTGTGCACATGCTCTATGCCTAGTCTATGCACCAGTTATAAAATGCACTAGAGAGAGCCTGTTCACATACCTGGAGTTTCATACACAATTTTCAGCTTCCCTGTTGTGTTTCCCTTCCTCCAGGAAAAAGGTTACACCTGAGTTTGGGTTTTGTCAGCATTTTTATGTTCTCTTCCTAGCCAGAGAAAAGGGGTATATACCTATGTAAGTCAGTGAGGAATGAGTTGATGGTAAGTAGATATAACCTGTCAGTTAAAAGATCATGGCATAGAAATGAGATATAAGTCTGTCTACTGGGCTGAGGGGAGCAAGGCTACTTAAACCGAAGCACTGCTGTCAGAGCCACCAGTTTTACGAGCTCTGCATTTATTTTTTCTCTACTACTAAAGACACTCATATATGAAACACAGGGAACTAACATATACTACTTGGCAACACAAAATGTATACATTCCTTCTATGATTTACTTATGATCTTTCAAAGAGTCTCCAAAACAGGTGATTTTTGAAGCACAACAGTAACCTTCCAAAGGAATGCAGTGTTTAATTCAGCAATAAAAAGTGCAGTAAGTCCAGACAGTCACTTGTATAAAAATATTATGCAAGTACACAAGGGCAAAGAGGGTGCCTACAGGCCATAGTTGGTACATGGGTCTTGAGCCTTAAAAACTAAATTGTATGCCTGCCAGCATTAAGTCTTCATTGCAACTCCACAGTGGTGACAACTGGTAAAGGTGAATAGTGCTCGCTTTAAATTTATATGGTCCACATTTGGTCCTATGCGATTTGCAATATATTAAAGTGATATTCCGCTGGGATTTGTAGGACTGGAATGGTGGGAACTGGTCTTGATGGTCCAGAGCTATGAGAGGAGATGTGGCAATTTTTGGTGGTGGTGTTTTTCAGATAAACAGTTAATCCAAGGACATATTGCCACATATACCATGACTTAAATATGGCATTGAAACTGCTAAATACAGAATTTCTACAAGTTTACAAAAAAGTAAAAAGCCTACCAGGATGGATTTATAGCAAAGAGCAAAAATAAAACACAGGATAGGCGGTATGCTCACAGCTGACTACTTTTTTAAATAGCAAATTATTTTTTTCCAAATCCATCAAGGACAATATACTAGATATTAATTTATCTTCTACCCTTCTTCTGAAGTCTTCTACTTCAGTGTACCTACTATCTTCTACCCATCAAACTGAAGTCTTTTTCTACCTGCAACTTCTAATCCTGCACATGCTTGGCTAGAAAGAGAAATTGGTTTGTTTTACTAGAAATGCTTTTAACATACAAAATTTCCAAAAACTTTTAGAATCAAGCTTTACTTGAAATTATGATGAAAGATACTTCCCAAAATCCATGCCAAGGCCAAGTCTATGACATCTTTTCAGTACTAATGCCAAAATAACCACATTAAATTATGTTTCATAATTTACCAAATTACTACCACTTTCATAATGTGCATGCAAACCATTTGTTGTCATGCCCTCATTTTCCTGCATTCAGTCATATTTCAGCATTTCTTCCTATTCTTAATTTTACTTTACACACTAACAAGTTTAGTGTCACAAAGAATAATCAGCACATTAAATACAAGCCTGTATCTTCTGGAGAAGTAACTGCCAATAATCTAAAATGCCTAAGAATTCCTGGTGTTTCATTCTACCATCCCACAGAGGTATTACACTCAGCATATGCAAATTTTACTGACCAATTATTTTATCTTCATTTTTTTCATTTCAATACATTACTTTAAGTAACAGGACACAACTTAACTAGCAAAACGTAAAATCCCAGTTTACGTGGAACAAGGTGCAATCCAGATAGCAACTTCATCAGAATTCAGGGTGTATGTGTCTGGGTCCATCTAGCTACATATATAATGAACTTAAAAATACATGTATGAACTCAGTGAAAAAAAGAAACCAGCAAGTATAAAATGTTGTGTATTTAACCATAGGCACAATAGTCAGGGATACACCTTCCTAATAAATAGCTGTCTAAAGCCTGCACTGGCCACTGAGAACACATGAACACCCTACCAACAAACCCCATGCTGTTAACTGGGATGTGTGTGTTTACAGGTTATTACACATTTAAACATTTTCTCTCTGCCCAATGCACACAGTTTCCTGCTAATCCTGGCTGTTACCAAAGAGCTATTGAGTTATCTTCCATCGTCAATCATTTGTACTAAATGGGGAGAAAAATTAGGTTAATAAAGGGGCTGCAAGAGGCATAAAGGATAGCACCCAGTGAGAGTCGAGCACCTGGAATTTTTCTTAGAATTATTTTTAAATGTCACAAAATAATCACAATTGAAGCTGAACAACATGTTGCAAATTCCAGAAAAGGCCAGCTGGCACCAATATTTTAATAATCTATCTTTCCTTTGCTCCCATGCTGAAATTTAAAAATCAGGAGCCCAACTGTCAATTAGTGTAAAATCACCATAACACTTCAACATTAGTGAGTCTAGACCAACATACACCAGTCCAGGGTTTAGCTCTATATTTTGAGGTGTGTTCTTCTCTGTCTGCCCAACACTGATTTATTTCCTTTTTCAGTGATGATAAACCAATAAAGATGTCTTGCTTCCCTCTTGGCTTAATCCCATGATCATCTAAGCAAGTGGTTCCCAACCTTTTTGTACCACCAATGGCCAGTCCTGACTCAGTGCCCCTCACTCCTGAACAGCTGCTGCCTACCACCCTATGGGGCAGAGGGTGGGTGTGTGGGACAAGGGTGATGTGTGTACATCATGGGGCCCCCAAGACAACTCACAGCTTCCCCTGTTTTCCTTCTTTAAAAGGAGAATCCATTTTTAAAGTTTGTTCATGACCCTTTCATGTATTCTTGCAACCCACTTTGGGTCATGACCCAGGGGTTGAGAAATGCTGATCTAAGCAGATAGATCAACAGTGTTAGAAATAGGGCTTGTTCAGTTTGTTTTCTTTGCATAAAAAGTAGACATGCCTAAATGACTAGATGCACTTCTCACAAAAAGCACTGAACTTAAAAAACAGATTCCAGGTCTATATAGAGGCTATATTCTAAGCCTGAAGCACTTATGAACTTGGTATAAGGATAAAAAGTAACATTTCTGCCACTGCTCCTAGTGTCCTCTGCGAAGAAGCACCCGCTCCAACAGATCATTGGAGAATGCTGCCACAGTCTACCCCAGCACAGACTGGAGCAGAGGGATGTGATCATCCCTCAGAAAATGGCAGACATCCCACTGACTTTGAAACAGACTGGAGTAGAGCCAGTCTCAAGTACACCAAACTTTTTCTACACTCTGAGTGTAAAATTTGTTTTTATTTAGCAAAACAACTGTGTGTACAATCCCCAAATAATGTAATCCAAAACTAACCCCAAAGAAATCTGTTCAAATACCAAGAAATGTTACTTTTTATTGGAATTTAGTACTCAATCCTGTTGGATGCTCTTGAAAAATCCTACCCTTAAACTTTCCAACTGAAATAAAAAACCAAAAGGAATTAAAAATCTGGCATCAGTTTCCAAAAGTTAAATTAAGATTAGCATTTCCATTCTCATATGTGAACAAATGGTCTAATTTAATTTTCCTATCATGAGAAGCAATGTAATAAAGATGCCTTTTGTCTATATGGAAGTTGTAAGTGCATCTAATACAAAAGTATCTTATACCATCATATGTCAGGTGTAAAATAAAGATGGCAAAAAGGCAACAAAAACAAAAGGACTTGCACTTTAGTTACTACCTTCATATCACCAGATACATATTACTTTGAGCATGGCCACATGAACAAACTACTGGAAGACAAGAGAGTTATAGTGCATCAGCTATTCTATGATAACCTTATGCCTGCTCTCAATCCACCACAGAAAGAATGGCGAGTTGTCTTTTGTCAGCTCTCAATTCCAGCAAGGCAAGAGCATGCATACAGACTATTATTGGTGACAGTGATTTCCACTCTATTCTAACTGCACAGTAATTTGCTTGCTCCCTCCATTAGCTACTTACCACTGAGATACTAGATATTTTTGTCAGTTTTTTGGGGGGAGAGGACAGCAGGAATTGGACATACTTGTTTTCCACTGACAGTTCAGCAGAATAATACATAACATTTGGATTTTAAATAATACAGTAACTAAAACACAACTTATACTTATGTACTGGGTTTTCCACAGAGAAGCAAATATGACAGGATGCTAAATGTACTTTTCTTTCTACAACTCAATCAAGAACCACTATCTGGTCGTTGTCATCCTTCTCAAGTTTAAGCTTCTTTGCTTTTAAGTCGCTCTCGTCGCCAGACCATTTATGCTCCTTTGCCGCCTTTGCAGCTGAGTTTTGGACGGTCCCTGAAGTGCTACGTGCTTTTCCATCAGTCCCTTCAGAGAAAGAAGGCCGAGGAGATTTGAGCTGAGAATTAGAAATAAAGCTCAGTTAAAGTACTCAGCTTCTCCTCCTCCTCCCTCTTAGAAAGAAGGCAATACAAACAACACACTTTAAAACTCAAAATCTAATTACTGCAGAGCAAAGTAGACATTTTCTCTTTTGGTGGCCACAGACCATTTTGAGCCCCACTCCTCTCTCTGTTCATAACAACACCTGTGGGTGGTTCCTTTGGCACAAATTTTTTCAAGGGTGAAATATGTGGGTCAGAACTGACAGTGCATCATCCTCCCCACGGTACCTAGCACATACCGAAAAACTGATACAGCTGATCCAAGATTTGCTTATAACGTCAGTCACAACATCTAAAACAAATGCATATGATGTAACCCTGACAAATATTCTGAGACATTATGAAGCAGAATAGTTGAGATTTTCCAGACTAGTCACTACAGCAATTATTTCCTCCACCCATAACAATGTGGCTTCACTGCAAACAGTTTCTACATCACAAGAACAGATCACAGGTCTGACTGCCAATTTGTGATCATATTAAACACAGTTCTTACGTGAGCAAGATCTGACAGTCAGGCAAACATGTATGTCCAAATAAGTGTCAAATTTAAGTGGTACTCAATTTTATACATCCCACTGGTTTTCTACTTTGTTTTAACTGGAGTAGGGGGAAACAAGCAAAAAACTGATTAAATTGTATACAACAGTAATTATAATAATACTTCGTATAAATGTAAACGCAGACAAATTCTTGTCATATGACATGTTATAAAACCTTAACATGACTGAAATTGGTAGTCTTACTAGGGATTTGGATAGGTGCAACTTAAAATATATCTCTTGGGCTTTTGAGTTATTGTCAAAATAGATTTCAAATACAGTTAAGCACCACTACACTCCTTAATGTGGAACCCACGCCCAATTAAAGCTGTTATCTTCACATTGAGAGTTGTTTTTATTTTGCAGAATGGCAAAAACTATGTTTTTACTGATATTAGGTTTCTAAATATAGATCACTTGTGTAAATCACATATTATAAACAGTGAAATGATGAATAAACCCTCCCAGTTCAAATTTAAAAAATAAAAAACATAGACAAATGATACTTCAGAAGAGGTTCTTTGCATCTTAAGATGGGTAATTAGAAAGCTGCTATTGCAGAAGGATCAAAACAAACATATTTAACAAGGCATCAGAAGTATACTGCTAAAAACATCCCTAATATTATGGAGAGTAACCAGCTATGGTAAATCCTAATAAAAATAATCATGCGAGAAGTCAATGTAAATACCTTGATTGCACTTTTCCTGTCTAGTCTCCCTTGCATGGTAATGACATGCGCTTCATTTTTCAGCAGGTTAGCTTTCGGTCCTATCTTCAGGTAGGATATTGTAGCAAAAGCTGTGAAACTGAAATCCTCTCTGCAAAAATTAATACAGAGTAAGATTTTAGAACTGGAATAATGTAAGAAGAAAATATGGATATAGTTAGAAACTTATGAGCAAATGCCCCCCACTGCACCTTGACTCTGATTTACCTATTCTAGCAACCGTTTACTAACTTTTTTAAATTCATGTCTGATTAGGTGTACAGAATTTATGTTTATCTGGAACTTGTGTGGCTGTCTCTGTGTCCTCTGTATTTCAAGGGTGAAATATATGGGTCAGAACTGACAGTGCACTAACTGTTCTCTGTGTTTCTGTATTTCCTTAAAGCCTCTTTCCTCACCAAACCCCCATCTCTACAATAAGCTCTACAGGAGCAGACTCCTTTGTCTTCCTCACCTCTATGCAGTCAAGGTAGTGCAGCAGCTGACTTGCCAAAAAAGTGGAACTTACTGCAAGTTTGAGGACTGTGATTAAAAACTGTCCATAGCCAAAGCTGCAAGAAGCAGAAAAAAAATGGTATTTCATGCTACAGATTTCTATTTTTATCCTTTTAATTTTCCAATTTCTCTCTCCAAGAAAAATAACCTGTCACTTTTATTTTACTCCTGGAAAACATTCTTCTGTGCTAAATTTTTATAGACAAGCAATGCACTTCTGAAATGATGGTACTGCTATAGCATCCATAATTATATTATATAGAAATAACTAACATTTCAAAGGAAGGGTTAGTAACTGTAGACACTGTCATACATACTTCAGATACTGCTGCAGTATTAAATGAGCAACAATCCTCTCCAGTTCATCACGAGGGAACTTTGGGGAAACAACTTCAGCAACTCGTAACTTGGACAAACCCTTCCCCAGCCAAGCATCAATTAACTTCAGTGGGGTGAGTTTTTCCCTCATATTATCTGCTTGCTCCAATATCTTGATTAGATCCCTGCAGCATCCAGTTACATCCATTTTCTCAAATGCTACAAGGAAAAGAAGCAGATTATTTAAAACAAAGTATACTCTGCCAGCTGTGTGGCATTCTTTTTTACAAGACTATCCACATTATATAGCTTTTATATTCCTTCCTTTGATCTGGAGTAGGTTTTTGATTAATACTGTATATTAAGAGTTTCACTGATGTTCGTTTTTAATTATTAAAGCTTGGATCCTTCAGAGATGTTCACATATGTTTAAACTTTACACACCATCACAAAAACTTCAATGGAATTATTCCCAGGGCATAAAATTAAGCACATATTTAAATCTACAAACATTTAGGTTCAAATATAGTATATTGTTTTATCAATCCATCTAAAATGTTTCTAAATCACTGGTTAAGTGGTACTGGTTGCAGCTGTGTTGGTTTAAAGACATAGGCAGACAAGGTTCTTTGGGTAAATCCGATATCTTTTATTAGACCGAATAAAATAGTTAGAACAATTCTTCATTGCAAGCTTGCAAAGAAGAATTTTCCAACTATTTTATAGCTGGTCTAATAAACAACAGCTTTTTAGGGTTCAGGCTCCATCTAGAATTCTGGACCTCTCAAAACTACCTTATCATAAAATTAGAAGGGACCTCTGGAGGTCATCTAGTCCAACCCCCAAATTTTTAGCCAAGCAAGGACCATACATTGAGACTTAAGGTCACTTGTCAACACCCAGACTTGAACTGCTTCCCTTCTGGTTACCAGCTTGACACTCAGGCCCTTCTGCCACAGAACAAGATGCCTGACTAGAATGGGAATAAGGACAAATGTTAACTTTTCAAGTAATAAAGCTGACATCCATCTAGTCTCAAACAGATTTCTTAGCAATTTGGCATGAACAAATCCCCTAAATTACAGCAGCAAAATAAAGTTAAATCACATATCCAAATGAGATTTGATTTAGAAGTATGACCTACCTTTCAAATGCATTTGTCGCAATTTTTTTTTTTTTTTTACGGACTTGATTGCCAACTTGTTATTCTGGAAGTGGTTCATTTTCCCCCATTCATACTTACTACAGAACACATATGGAGCAAACTAAAATTATACTGAATTTACAGACTACAGATGAGACATTTTTCCTCCCAAGTAGTTTAAAAACCAAGACAAAGGAGGAAAACGCAAGTTGTAATTGTACAAAGTTTTGTCAGACAAATTTATTCCCACAGCAGAAAGTAAAAATGGCTGAAAGACGCTGTAAGCTGTCACAGAAAGAAGCGTACATGTTTCATGGCAATATTTACCAACTAAAGTAATTTTTTCAAAAGGCTTAACAACATATTCAAATACCCCAAGAATTGAAAAAGAAATCAGACAAGTTTATCCTTCAAATGGCTCTCACTGATTAGTTCCTATTGGACATGGGTCCCAACTTCCATGTTTGGCCAACAGAGAGCCCCAGATCAAATTTGCAATTCAGGCCTCATCTCTATTTAATGTAGTCAGACAAAGGAAGTCAACCATCTTCAGACTCTCCGAAACCATCTTTTGAAAAAAAAATTCAACTAACGTACATGAGGAAGAAATGTAGGCTAGTGATGATCAGAACAAGAGAATGCAGACTGCTGTTCTATTACAAACTCAACAACTACTTCACAAGGCTGTTGTAAACTTGGCAGGTTTTCATGCAGACAAAGCTACTGCCTCTCAGAATTCTTTGCCTGGACATGCCAGGTAAATAACAGCAGTCTTGTATTTAGTAAAAAACTGCCAAAATTACAGTTGCCTCTGCAATCTCAATTCACCAATTCTTCTGTATATATGCATTAGGATAGAATCTTAATTACAGGATTACATTTTTTCTATAAGACTAGTCTCAGATCTGTGCAGAGAGTGGATGGTGTTCATTTAATGAGTGGCGATTGCATATTTTATTTTCTGTTTATTATTCAATATTTTGCTGTAAGGCCTTACTGATTGTAAATTATTCAAACCCCAGCTTTGAACAAAGAATTATACAACTGTGGGTAGGCTTTCCTACAGCATTGATGCCCACAGATTTGCGAGGCCCAATTTGAGTTGCTTAACACCAAATTTTTCAAAGCACTCAGCAAAATATAGCACTTGAGACATTTAATGCACAACTCCCGCATTCTGAAAGTGATTCCTGAGTCTCAAGCTACACCCAATTAATGCTGACCTGTACAAAACTTGGTTGAAGTAACCTGCCTAGCATCCTGTGGGAATTCAGTAACCACATTAGGGACACATTCCAATCCTCTATGTTCACAAACAACTGTCTGAATAAGGCCATTCTCTCTCTTCCTTGCGTTAACTCCATTCTCTTCCCCTAGTTCAAGTCTTGTCCCCTTTCTCATGAGCCAGGTGCCTTCCTTCTTTGTACACTTCCGGTACTAGCAGGACAAGTCAGAATTCCTACTCTCAACAGTGGAGCTCAGCAAAGACCCCGACCTGGACCAGCTATTACAGGAAAATCAATTAAGCATGCTCAACTCCAAGAGAGTTGGGGCTCAGAAAGACATTCTCTGCAACAGCTGCTCCAGGCTGGTACGTGTTTAGTCTAATTTACTAATAGAAACTTGTAGAGCTTGAACCAGTCCCGCATATATGGAATCCTCAGATATTTTAATTGCTAAATGCCAAGAAGCATCTACAAGCCATATGCAATCAGTGTTTTTTCACATGTTTATAACTTGGTCAAATTTGGGCAGATTGTTAAGGGAACAGCAAAGCTAGGGACAGAAATTACACAAACGGGTGTAAATGATTGCAAATTGTGTCAAATCTGTAACACAACAAAGTTCAATGCACGTAAACTGCTTTCAAAATGGCTGAAACCAGTTGAAGATAAACCTGGATGGATGTAGTATCATACTTAACTGATTTAAGTTAAATCAGTTCATTGAACTTCTGTCTCAAATCCCCTCCAGGTTCAAGTTAACTCTCAGTACCCCAGCATCCCAGGATACTTTGCACCTCCCCTGCAAATCCCTCCTTGCAGGATGAGCAGTCTAGTCTTGGCCCAAGCTGTCTGCTCCAGCTGAGCTGGGAGGTGTGTTATAGCGCTAATGCCACTGCAGGCATGTGGCTGTATTTCCAGAATCAGAAGTGAATGTCCGTTCACTTGCTTATTGGTTCAATTTGCGCAGTTTAAACTAACCTGTGAAGATTGATTCGATTCTGCCTCAGGGTTTTTGACTGTCTGTACTTAGCCCTAAAGGCTTATCCCATAGACAAAGGCCACTCTCTTCCCCTAGTGTTATTCCAAATTACTTCTCAAAGAAACGTCTGCCAGGAATATTGGGGTTTTTTGTTTTTTGACTTAGAGGAAAAATATATATATATTTTTCACTAGCTTTATTTTCCAAAACAGCAGAAATATTCTGGCTGAACCTGAAAAGCCATGTGAAGCACATACTTTAGAAGAGTTCAGCCCTAACTGTTAAAGAGTGGCAAAGTTAAGCAACTCAAAATAGTTCTTTACCAGGGGAAGTTGCAGGCAACTATAATTACAAATGCTGGAATCTGTCTAACCTGGCCATTTTCCCTGCTTTCTACTTCTGGTCGTTAAATACTTTTACTTACATTTCTCTCTACAGCAGTTATCACACATTTTGTTGCAGTTTGCAGAATCCCACACTTCATCAAAATGATGAGCTATCAGTACCCGGCGACACCTGGAAGGATATATTTTTTGAATGGGAAGAACAATAAGTGAGATTATAAAATATGAAGGGACATATTTATTAGATCATATCAATATAGAGATGGCCACTTGTTTTGAGGTAAGGTAGGTTCTTTCAAGTAAAAAGGCTCACTCAAAAAGTCAAGATGTAAAATATTCTTTGTCAATTATGCAAACAATACAATATTACAAATATTCTTGTAACTACTATAACTACTGTTGTATAAAGAGCTTAGCTAAATTAGGAAAAAAGATCAAATACATGAAAGCAAACATCAAACAGCAGCAGCTTCCAGGATGAAAATAAGGTTATTAATTGATATTCCAACTGTGGAAGCTTTATCCCCTACCCCAGCAATAACTAACTGGCAGAGTTCTTTCCATAGGCAAGGAAAGAAATTCTACCTTCCCCAAAGCACCAAAGATAATTCTGTGCAAGAGGTAGAATACCAGTTTAAACAGACCAACAGTCTGATCATTATACATCGATCTCAGAGAGAAACAAAGCAAAGTTAAAGAGTCCCATGCCTCTCAGCCTTTCCTCACAAGGCCTGCTTTCTTGCCCTCTGATCATGCACGTGGCTCTCCACTAGACTGTAAACCCTGGCATTTCTGATTGCTCCTAATAAAATGTTTACGAAGGGAAACACTATCTTTTATAAAAATGGGTTTTATTTATTTAAATAAATCTATATCTATATATATATCTATATCTATCTATATATCTATTTTTAATAAAACACTTACCCACTTATGTTGTGGCAGTAAGATACCATATCATAGAGTTTCTGTTGCCCTACATTCTCCATCACAACCATTGTGCTGATTCTGAAGATATCTCCAAAACCATAATATAAAATGCAGTCAGCTTTCTGGTCATCGCGACCTGAAATTCATTTGAAACAGACTTTAGACTTTACATAATTTAGGACCAAAATAAAAAGACATGAACATACAGTACTAAGGATGCTTGCTTGCTACTCTGTGATACACCCTGCCCATGTTTACGCGCACGTGTAGATGCTTACTACTCTATCAAAAACCCTGCCCATACTTATGTGCGTGTGCATGCAAGTGCGTGTCTCATTGTATGACAGAGAATTCAGCAGATCAGATCAACTAACAGGACTTTAGGAATTTAACAAAAAGGTTAGAAGCAGAAAGGCAGAATGACCACATTCTTCTATAAACTTAATAAAACATAAGGGCTAGTTAATACTTAAAAGTAGCATTCATATTTTGCTCCCAAGCAAACTGCAAAATTTACAGAATAAAATGTGTCACCTTCCAATGGATGAATACAGTCATAATGTACAAATGAAAGTCAACAGAAGCAGAGAGTTAAGCCTAACGGGTCCTTTTTGGGGGAGAGGAGGGTTTGGTTGTTGTTATTGTTTTTTTGGGTTTGTTTGTTTTTTTAAAGATGCCATCCTAAAAGTGTACTGAAATGCAATTTAAGAGATTTGCCAGCTATACAATACCAGCTACTTTCTAAGGGATTCAAATCAAGCAATAAAAAGAGAATTTAATAGGAAGACAGTTGTTTAACTGCCAGGATATCAACAGCTACTAAGACCTGAGCACTCAAATACTGCTGTCACCTTGTGTAAAATTATTTAAAAGCATCCTTTTAAAAAAGCAATTACATGTAATGAGTAGTCAGGGCAGGCAGGCAGGGAAATTGTAGTTTTGTAGCTATTTGTAAGTATGTCACAGAAGCAGCCTGTGCTTTAAAACAACGCAGAAAACAAAAAGTTAAAACTCAGAAGGACCACATGCTTAT